AGAGAGAGAGAGACGAATGGGAGCAAGCTATTGGAACAAGTGTAGCATGGGTGTCCTCAATTGGGCACCTGGGCATGCCGGAGTTGCACCAGGTAGGTGTGCTGGGTTTGAGCCTTGCGTCAAATTAAAAATTGGCTATCTGTCTGCTGCCTCAGAGAGAAGCAGTCTTAGACTGTCTGACTATAATTAAAGCCAAGGAACGGTAATGGCAATTGCCCCATCTGGCTATGCTTTCTTCTGTAATGATATGCTGCTCGTATCAACCCCCTCTCTCCTAGTAGGACTGTTGGTTAAAAAAACAAAAACAAAAAAAAACAAAAAAACAAAAAAAAAAAAAAAAGAGGCTGGCAACAATGGTGGCAGGCAAACTACAATGTATGGACAAGGAAATAGCCAGCCAGATGATGATGATGATTTCTCACAACTGTCTCGAAGAAGGAGTCTGACAAGGAAGGTCGTATATATATATCGTCATATATATATATATATATACCCCTCGTTTGTTGTCCTCTTCTCCCTCTCTGCCTACGGTTTACCGGGCAGTTCTATTTGACGATATATATATATATATATATCGTCAAACAGAATATATATATCGTCATATATCGTCAATCCCTAAAAGTGTGCTTGGAGTTAATTCAAAGTTTATCATATTTTAATTTTCCAATTACTGTTGATATATAGAAAAAAGACATACTATATATATATATATATGAGTCGGTGAAACTCCGACGAAACAGTTTGTCACAGCCCCTCGTTTGTTGTCCTCTTCTCTCTCTCTGCCTACGGTTTACCGGGCAGTTCTATTTGTGACGATATATATATATATATATATATACGATATATATATACAAGGATTGAGTCCGATTGACAGATTGGGAGCTCTTTCTTGATTCGATGGGTGGTTCCACATGGCCGTTCTCAGGTGGCGGAGTGATTTTTTGTGTTTCAAAGGAGCACTATGTTTTCCATACATCGGCCGCAGGGAGGGTCCCTGCTCTTTTCGGAGGGTGGAAACGCAACATAGGCCAGCGATGAAATCTATCAACGGCGGCTGATGTTGCGCACAGACCCCAAAGAGTGCGGTGTATGGGTTATATTCCCACTTTTCCCAACAGAGTGAAAGGTAGTGGTGGTTTAAAGGTGGGGAAAAAAGAAAGGGACACGGAAGGTCGACTCTGAGCAGAGCCTTGGTTTGCGAATGTTCTGTTTTTAATACTATTTAGTGAGTCTTTATGTATATTTACTGGTTCTCGGGGCAGATCCTCTGACCTCAACGGAAAGATAGGTGAGTGGGTTCTCTCTCTCTCTCTCTCTCTCTCTCTCTCTCTCTCTCTCTCTCTCTCTCTCTCTCTCTCTCTCTCTCTCTCTCTCTCTCTCTCTCTTCCTCCCTTTTTATTTTCCATACAGCAGAACCTTATGGTCCCCAGCCTGCGATAGGATAAGTAGCTACTTATCCTTTCTCTTCTTTTTTTTGTTTAAACCACCAGTACTTGGCCCAGCTATTGAAGCCGAGCCTGAATATGCCCTGCGCGCCGATTTTTGCCGAGCCTGCCGGGGGCGGGAACCAACATGGGACATTTGATGCTTGGCACAGGTACCGCCCTTATTCTGGACCTGCTGCCAGCAGCTGGAGTGTAAAGCGGCGACAGTTTTCTTGTTTCCACTCGTGCAGTGCATCCAGATCCGTCTGGAAAGATCTCGTTGAATGAGGCGGGGAGCAGGAGCACAAACAGCCGAGAATCTTGAAAAGGGGAAAAAAGAAACAAAAAAAAACAAAGGGGGAAAGAGGTACAAAGCTCTGAACGTGATTGCCCTCAGATACTTCCGCTGCTGCAGCGAAGTGCAGCCAGCCAGATACATTCTGGCAAGTGCTACGTCACAGTGAAGCCCTGGAATTGAAACGGTTGGCACGCATTGAATGCTCCCTGTCTCTCACGGGGAGCAGAAGCACAAACAGCCGAGATACTGCTTTCAAAAAAAAAAAAAACATAAAAAAAAAACAAAGGGCAAAGGAGATACCAAGCTCTGAACGTGATTGCCCCCAGATTCATCCACTGTGCCCGAACCCCGAAAACTGCGGCGCGTTAACGTGGAAGGCTCGCGGCCCATGTATGGGCCAAGTACTGGTGGTTTAACAGCTCCCCGGCGTGCTAGATGGAGCCCATATGAGCAGAAACCCCTAGCGGCCCTACTTATCCACTCTCGCGAGCCCCAGTTCGGGCATGCTGGTATGAGTAGCCATTCCTAATTGCCCAGCTGAGACTCCAATCTATTGGTGGGAAGTAGCACCCACTGGAAAACGGGTCCAGCGTCCCATATACATGAATGATATTGGCAGGCATCGACAAGCTTGGGAAAGGAGAAATCCAGATGCATCATGACTAGTGAGTTTGTAGGCAGAGGTCGCCGGATGCAGCCTTTTAACCTAGCAATTTYTACCGGAGAGAACTGTAARAGGGACAACAACAACCATRGAAAGACCACTCAGTTATTCCCCTCCTCCCCCATCATACCATTGTATCTGTACCAACACAAGCTGTGAGGGAGGGAACAAATCTGAGAAGCTATCAGCAGCGACCAAAGAATCTCCTGGCTGAAGATAGTGTCAGAGTGGAAGGTTCACTTTGGTATTCTGCTGGTTCATCACTACCTCATCCTCTGAACCTCGGGAGCCTGTTCTCTTACGTCTTCGTTTCTCCCTGTGCATCCTCCAAAATAAAATAAATTAAGACAAATTAAAAATAAAATAAGAAAGAAAAATGCCACGCATTATTCATCATCAACGTAGTCACAGACTAAGGGAATCAACTCTCATGTTCAGAGGAGCAATGAGACAATTAGCGGCTTGTCAATTACACACTCCGATTAAGGCTGTATTGGCTTCAAGACAGAAGCAGAGTAAGGATGTTAAGGAAAATGAGCCAGAAGTATCTATGATAGAAGGAGAAATTTTAACTACGGAAGAGCAGAATGAACAAAAGGAACAGACAGAGAACAGAGGGCTGACAATGGATCAAGGTGTCTTGGTCCAGACACAGGAAGGAAGTTAGGGGGAAATTATTTTAAATCCGTTGTTCCATTATGCAGAAACGGATGGGGGAAAGACTTCTTATTCCAACAAACAGCAAACAGGGAGTCAGATCACAAAGCTGACACCCGGAATTAGAAATGTGATGGCATTCAGACATCAAAGAATGTCATCAGCTTCCCAGTATCAAACAAGAAACAAAGGGACTGTTATCTTTCAAGCGGGTGCCTCTAAAAGGAGACCACAGGAGTGGAGAAGAGAGAAAGAAGGGGACGAGGAAGGAAGGAGCAAGAGGGAAGGTGGAGGAGGAGGAGGAAGTAAAGGGGAAAAGGAGGAAGGGAGGAAGGAGGAGGGGAGAACACCCCAGGAGCAACATCTGAAAGGGCAAAATTTATCACAGGATGCACAGGATGCATTTCACAAACAAGGAACTTCTTCATGGGTACAATGCGTCAAGGGGCCCTCCCAGTCAAAAGAATTGGAAATCAGAAGACAGGGGTTGCAAGCACAATCATTAAAAATTCCATTGTGCAACCTTCCAGCTGCAAAGGCATTCTTCCTATCCAAATTCATCTCCTCTGAAAATAGAGTAATTGAGTTGGCTGGGAAGAAATCACAAATAAAGACATATCCGGCACAGAAACTGGAAGAACGGGATGCAATCTACCAAGTTCATGCAAACAACTGGGTGTTTCGTGATGATTCACCATATAAATCCACCAATGAAAAAATCAAGTGGATTGGTAAGAGACTAGCGAATTACAAAGGCAGTAATGAGGCAATGTGTCAGGACTTCCTAATTCTGCCGATTTCCTCAACTATTTTCACTGTGCTTTGTCTACACACAGCAGACAAGACAACAATAGAAGGATGGCGTAAACTGAGATGTGAACGATCGGAGGTTAGGATCTACCCGTGGTCGCCACCAAAGCAAGGGCCGGATGAAAAACGCAAACAAATGATGGAAGACTACTATTGGGTAGAATTTAGACATATCCCAATAGAAATACAAGCAGCATTCATTTATGATTTCGGGATCAATTATGATATTATAGACTTCATAGATCCCCTTCCAGCTTATGCGGCGAAGAGGGATGACTACTTGATGCTGGTTCTTAATCACCCTACCAACATACCCTTCAATATAGACGATGTCATCCCTTATAGGGTAGGGGGGAGAGAATATCGTATTCATACGGCACACAAGTTGAGACCATGGTGCTTCAGATGTAGAGCTTATGGACATTTAAGTACAGACCCGGCTTGTGTTCAAAATCCGGTAAAGAGAAACAGAGCAACAGGAAGGCTCATTAGAGATCCTTTTAAACCCAACCTTTGGCGAACAGTGGATGCAGGATATGAGGGGTGGGTATATATAAAAAGCACGAAAAAAGGGGAAGCTTCTCAAGGTTGGATAGGGGAACGGCAGGATGAACCCAATTGGGAAGCTAAACCACCAGATTCATGGGTACTGCCAGAGGTCTCCCCGGGGGCAGCAGGGAAGGGGAAATTATCTCAGGCATCGATGGAGGAGGCGAGAATGGATGATGGGGTACAGAGTGCATCCCCCTCTGGGGTAAGAATTACATCCACTCAACAAGCGATAAGGGGAGCACCTGTCTCTCAGAATAAGGACAGAGGGACATCTATCCAACAACAATGGAGACCGGTTCTTAAGAAGGGAAAAGCAGTTAATGATGTAAAGAATACTCTACCAGGGCCAAAACCTACTGAATATTTGGGACAAGAAAACAGGGGTTCCTTCTTTTTACTAATGGAAGATGAAGGATCAGATATTGAGACAGATGAGATGGATGGGATGGAAAAGGAAAAAGATGGGAGCCTAATGATCGAATCATCTACTAGGAATATAGCAAATGAAGGTAAAGAGGAAGGGGAAAGGAAGAAAAGGAAAAGGAAACAGATTACAGGTCCGGGTAGGGATGCTGATCTCCATAGAATAGTCTAATCATCTGCACAAAAGGTGACAAAAGATGTGGAACAAGGGAGCCCAGTAGCAGAAACAAGTGAAGCAGCAGAAACAAATGGAACAGAAAAAGAGGATCCAAGTAAGGAACTTACTGAGGAAGGAGAAAGGGAGACTGATCCTTTCTGAGAGCATTCGGGTCAGTTCCAATGGAGGTAGATTCTTCTCCAGTAGAAGAAGATTTTGAGATGGGTGAAGCAAA